TGTCTATTTGAAGAGCATATATATGAGCATATAATTAGAATAGTTAAGCTGCTGCTTCCCTACCATTTTGATGTGTGTTTTAAATGGAGATTAGTGATGAAATTAGACCAGGAAGAATTCCTTCATAAGAAGTACAAGAAAAAGCATAGTTTGGGATGGTGATTAAAATCACACCACTTCTTCCAGAGAGATACTTTACATTGACTTCAGCCTTCAGCACTTTTTTCCAGGAAGCTTGTGCATCAAGGCATCATCTTGCTGTGCTCTACTCTCTGCTGCTGCATCCCCACCTCTCCTGGGGGCTGGGGCTTTGTTTCAGTGTCCTTTCAATACCTTCCCTGCACTCCCCAGGAAGGAGACTTCTAGCCATGTAGAGTAAGTAGGTGTCTTGTCATGCTTATTGAAGGAGATGTAGCTACTCTTCCACTTCTAAAAGAGAATACAACACTATTTTCTAAGCTGTTCTCATACCTGGAGAGAGTCGGTACGTGTGATTTTTGTGAGTGGAATGAACAAAGTAATATGGTACTTTTCACATTTGGTTCTAAAAGGATATGAAGGCATGATCAAAAGAAGATACACCTCTAAAAGCTAGTCAGCTCTGCTCTCAAGCCTCTTGTTCGTGCAGTTGTGTATGGAAAACTGCTTTAGGTTTGGGACATAGAGAAAATATTTCATGTTGTGTGATTTTGTTGCTGAAGATTGCTGTAAGTAATGTTTGGGTGTAATAATATTCTGAAAAGATTGGTTGGAAAAAAAGAAATGACAGTGGTACCAAAATTATTTGTAGGGCATATTCTTCCATTTCTCTTGGCAAGCTTCTGTGTGGCCTCTCAGTGCTTACAACTGTGAAGTCATTAGCTGTGAACTGTTAATGATCCTCTGAAGAGTAAAAGGTGACAAAAATTGCTTACTAATAGATACCCTGGAAATAGTCTTCAGTCTCATATTTGGTTTGTGGGTGGGTTTTTTTCTCCCCGTTAACCATGAGGCACGCTCTGGCAAAAATAGTTTGTGCCAAAATAGGCCAGAGAAGGACACTGATTAATCCATCCAAATGGAATAATTTACTGCTAACCTTGCTCCAGCTTTGGCATCTGGATCATGTAATTTTGTCGGGTTTCTACAGCTGCTTTTTTTTTTTTTTTTCTCCTTTTAGCTCATTTTATTGATTACATATTTAACAAAAAAAAACCTGCACTGCATCAGCTTTGCATGGGGAGTGGTTTGGATAGCACGTCTGTTTTCGTAACAGGTTTTTCATCAAGGCTTCTACTGCTTGACACAGCAGAAGTGGAAATGACCACTTCCCTCCCATCACTTTGTTTCAAGGGCTCTTCTGGGTACAGGATAGTGGTGGTAAGAGTAAAGCAATTGATTCCACGGGAGTGGGGTTTTCTAGCTACTTCCATGTAAAATCTGAGTTGAGATAGGAACAGTAGTGATTTACATGAGGATTAAGAGAGGCCTAAGTTCTTCTTTTAAAAAAAAAAAAAAACAAAAAAAAAAAAACAAAAAAAAACCCCTCAAATTTGGGGTTGTTGGATCCTCTTGGTGAGTCACTTGTGAAATCAGGTGTTCATGCAACACAGGCATTTCTTGTTTCTCATTCTTTGACTTCTTTGATTTTAAAAGTTGCGGATGCTCACTTAATTATGAATATCTCCTGAGCATGATGATTAAAACTTGGCACACCATACTTTTAAAAACACTAATCTTCACAAGATTCACTGTAATTAGATAAGTATTCTCCTGGCTTCACAGAGAGGAAAACTGTAAGGGTCCAAACATGCTTCTGTTTTGGAGTTGCTGTCAACTCTTAAGGCTCTTAATAGCAGAAGATAAGCTGTTAAGTGATTTGTCTAAAGACAAGTAAGATGGTGGGAGAGTTTGATTGGATCATGGGTGTTCTTGATTCACAGGCACCTGGCTGATAGCTCAAGATGTCTTGCTTGACATTTCAGCTTTTTGCATTTTAGTGTTTATCTTCAAAGGTCATCAACTTTATATATAAACTTTACAGAGGTGTGTACAGTCCGCCAAGTTCCACACCTGTTAATGAGCTCTCTTGCCCATCAACGGTGCTTTTTACTATCTCTTCATTGGTGTTAGACACCCCCAAAAATAAAATACAAGAAATTGTGGAAATGGAATTACTTGGCACTGTCAGAGGCATAGTAAAGTAACTGAGAAACAACTCAGATGTGATGCTAAGCAATGTTGTAAGTAGAAAGGCTGAAATACCCAGGTGGGGAGGAAGCTGTGTTCTTGAGCGCTGGTTGTTTTCCGCTGGTGATAACAGACTCTTGCTTAGGACCCTGCTGTAGGTTTGTAAGTGCTAGAGCAGGGTGAGGTGCATCCCCAGTTTGAGGGGCTGACCGAGCTGGTGGGGAGGCACGTCACGAGCAGGAGCTGGTGTGGTTTGTGTGATGGGGAAGGGAGTCTGAAGCATCATGTTCAACCCCCACCCTCTCCACTCACGTGCAGGGTCAACGTGGCTCTTTTACTGGGTGAGTTACTGCTCCATGTGCACATCTACTAGGCAAGGTACATCAATGTGTAGGGGTTTGGCACTTGAGAATACCCACAAAATTCAAGATTCTTCTCTGCTGCTTTCCACCATCTCCCTTATTAAGGATTGCTTGGTTACCTCTCTGTGGCTGATTAATATGTCATGTGATTAATGACTTTATTCTGACACATCGATGGGATTAAGCCATGGTGAAATAAATCCTTCCTCTCCTATTGCTGCATTCTGCTGCTTTCCACAATGGAAGTACAAGAGGGATTGTGTAACTAGAAGATCTGCTTGGTATTTTTGCCTGTTTCCAGTTTCCTTGCCTTTGGATATGTGTTTGTGGTGCTAAGTTGGAGTGGCAAAAGTTGTTTAGGAGACATAATGAAAGTGCATCTAAAACATTCTGGGAATAACCCAGGCAGCTTGATGAGGAATTAGTCTTGACCAGCAGTTGCCAGTTTAACATGCCTCCGATTATGTCAACTGCTCCTGTAGTGCTTTGGCTCTGAAAAGAGCCAAGTCAATGAGTATTTTAGGGGATACCACATTTTAAACAGGTGAGAATTTTCATAAAGAAACGCAGAAGCACAAAAAAAACCTAGGCATGTGCCTTAATTACTTTCAATGACTATGCCAGCACTACAAGTGTGGCTGCAGCATGTATGCCTAGATGTGCTGGCTTTAACCTACTAAATCTGAGACCTTCTTGCCTTAGTTTGGCAGCATGCTGCTTAGAAAGATGCCGTTTCCCTGATGTCAGTGTCCGAGCGCTGCCTAATCTGGCCGAAAGCGGTTCTCCTTTTTCCTCTTCCCCACTGCCCCCTCCTTACTCCCTGCCATGTAAGTGGATGAATTTTCAGCACAGGCAGCTCCCTGGCTCAGCTCTTGGTGCAAGCAGATGAGCCCTGTGCGGCGAGCACAGGCGGCTGGTGGAGCTGAGAGCTCAGACCACCGCCCCTTTCGGCAGCAAGACGGACTGGTGCAGGAGTAAAGCAACCCTGGGACTGTGGCCCACGAATATCTATAGTTAATGGTGAAGCTGTAGCAGTATTTACACACACAAATCTGCAGGGGACTGTGCCTGTTCGGTTTGAGTGTTTCTGCCCAAGCCTGTGCCATCAAAGCTTTACATTTGCCGATACTTGTGCTAACTTCGTTCGCATGCCAAACAGTGCTACAGCAGTGCTCTTGCTGTATTGACAGCAGATATGTATGATATACATTATGTATTAGGATTATTTATTTGCCATGCTAAAACATGGAATTTTGGTTAAAGTGAGAATAATTGTATTAAGATTCAGTACCAATGATGTGGCTGTGTAGGCTGATTGCTTTGAGGAGCGAGTGACAAGAAACTTAGGGCAAGCACTGTGCTGATCAAAAAGTCATCAGCCTGGATTCGCTGGTACAATTATGAGCAATTTTTATGACAGTGAAGGTTCCTTAAAATGTAAATAGAGTTAACATCACGTTCCTTTGACCTAATTCACAGGCTTTTGTATTATTACTAAAGTGATCTGAGATCCTATAATGCAGTACAGCGCAGAGTGGCACTCTTCAGAAAGATTGATAGAGCACTCGTGTTTGAATAGGATATGGAGCATGGCAAATTCTGAGATAATGCTGTGATCGTTGAGTGTGAAGGGTTGTGTGCATGGCTCCTGGGTGGAAAGCCACAGCTGTAGTTTGGAACAAACTCCGCTCAAAAGCGACCCTATTGAGAACCATGGTACCTCTCACTGCTGCGGCTTGAGTGTATGAGGAGATGTTTTCTTTAGGTGGCACGTCGAGTTTTCAGATTGCTAGATGCCCAGTTTGCATTAACACAAGATGTCTTTATTCTAACTAGCAGAAAAAAGTCGTCAGGCCCTTGTGGAATATTCTAAACTTTCACCGCCAAATTCAATTTGCTGCGTTCTTCCTTCTAGAGAGCTTGCTCCAATGACAACACCATGTCAGATGATGCATGGACAGACCCTGAGTTTCCCATAACTTTGTCCTTGGTATGAAACCAGTGGCATTTTTCTCATTATCTTTAAAAACACAGGAGAAAAATAGTTCCTTTTTTTTAAAGTGTGAGTTGTCATTTGGAAAGCACCCTGTGTTAATAATGAGTTTCACTTATCTAGAAATCTTAAGAGCCATCAAAAATACATTTTTTTTTTTGAACATTAGGAAATAAAGGTTGTGGGGGTTTAAGAGTGCAGCCTCTGCTAAGGCACACAGTAAGAATCAGTCTTCACTGCAAAGTCAGCTTCTTGCTCTTAACCCAGATACCATCCGGAGATACCCATCTGACTGACTGTAGTTGTGCTTGCAGCCCACCTTAGGGGTGTAGGCATTATCCAAGTGTTGCACACACTTGTGTGCGTAGTCCATCCACTCACAGTGGGGACAGAGGCATTGGGAAAAAGTGCAGAGCATTTTGTCTTACTCTGTCTGTGGGTATGTTTCCAAAAGTCTTAATGCCTTGCATTGAAAAATGAAGTTCCAGGGTAGATGTCTCATACTAATGCCCAGGCTAATCTTACCTGCAAACTCAGGTCCAGACATTGGAAAGCAAAGGTGTATCTCCAGTACAGAATTAGCTTCTGTTTATGCTGTGATGTGTTCCTTCACATACCTCAGCCTCCCTCAAAAAAGTCAAACCTAGGTTGTAGTAATCAAACAAAGGTTTCATTTCAGCCTAAGTTGTCAGTCCATGGGCCTTGCATGTAAAAGGAAGGCCAACCAAGCTGATGATATTTCACTGCTGTTCCCTAATTAACTCTGAGTAACACTGTTGTCTTTTTTTTTTTTCCCCACACTTTGAAACACCTGTAATGGCACTTTAACCCTGCAATTGTCTCTCCGTTTTGCTTTGCTATGGTATTTGAATGGCAGTGCCATGAGGAGTATGTCTGTGCAGAAGTTTGCCAAAAGCAGATGTCAGCCTTCTAGTACTGTTGTGCTGGGTGATCTGTAGAACTGCAATTTGGGGAAAATGTGTCTAAAGAAACTGTTCAAAAATTAGGGGACAGAAAAGAAGAGGAAGCATCAAGCAGACAAGAAGAAATTAATTTGGTCTGCTGAAAGGTTTTGCTGCCAAATATTTTGGTATGATCTGTGTTAGCAATAAGTAATGCCATTTGGAAATTATTTTACACACAGGATTGTTGTTGTATTACTATTACAAACAGCAGCTCCGTGCTGGGGCACACAAATCCCAAAATCCCACACGTATTCATGGATCAGCCAAGTAAAAATGTGGCATTTCCCACAGGAAATCTATCCCAGCGTGCAGACTAGTAAAGCACTATTGAGGATGCAGCTGCATATGTAGAGCTTTGTAAAGACGACCCTCCCTCTGTGCTGGAATAGCTCAAGCTATAATTGTTCAGTAAAACCACATCCTTAATGCTTAGGCATCAAGTAATTTCTTCTGAAATGTTCTACTTCTCCCAGTTAGAACTATCTTGAAGATCTACCACCATCTTTACACACCTAAATGACTGCTGGATTTTTTTAAGTTATTTAACAACTCATGGATTCTTCTGCCCAGCTATTTTTTATCACATTAAAGTCTGTATCTGCATGCAGAACACAGGAAAAACTTGACAGCAATGTTTCATTTTCTTTCACATCTCAGCATTTCACCAGACACGGATTTAGTGAGATCTTTGTTACGAGATCTGAAAATTTTATTGCTTCAGTCTTTTGCTAGCAGGGTGCATTGTAAATGCAGAGCTGGTGGTTCAGAGTGCAGGCAGAGACAGCACTACACTGTCACCTGGCTGCGGTTTGGGGGGGTGATTGGTTTAGGTTTTTTCCCCCTTTTAATTACTTAAAACAAATTGGATTGAGGATAAATGTTGCAGGACTGTAATACTTTGAGAGCTTTATTAATTGTCCTCTTAGGAGATAAATAGGTGTGATAAATTTGTAGAAAAGGAAGCAAACTTAAATTATTTTAAGCCAATGATGCTGCAGGAGGAGAATGGTGGAATATTGCCTGCTAGTATTTTTATCATCATTCACTCTTCTTAAATTTTAGGGCTGTCATTTCTGCACGGAAAGGTTAGATGCTTTTTTGAGCAATTGGTTTTTACTTCTGAGGATAGACGAAGGTATTTTAAACTAATTACTTCTATGCAGAGGACAGTTGTTCAAAGCGTGGTTATATTTCTTTTAATTCTACTTAGTTACCACCTGAGCAAGAACTGCAGTTACATGCTACCCGTCTGATTTACCAGTGTCTTGTAGAAAGTCAGGAACTAGCCCTTCCTCCAACGTGAGGGATTTGGGCAGTTTCAGTCAGGTTGTGAGCCTATGAGAAATGAATTTGCCTGCACTTGTTGTTGCAGAACTTGACAATAGTTTGATTCTGGCTTTGCTAATAGAGAAGTCTTTGCCAGTGTTTTCAGCATCCAAGAATTTTCCTATTTCTGTGTGGTTATTTACTGTCTTGTGTGATACAGGCTACTTTATGAAGTTTTCTTCTGGTTCATAATATCTTATCGTCAGGAGAACTATTTAGGGAAAAAAAAACCCAGACTTGATAGAAGGGGTTGCAGACTGACTGCTTACCTTGCTAGTTATGGTGTGGAATTTCTGAATACCTGATGGAATCCTGCTTCTGTGGAGGTACAGCTCACATATGCAGCTGAACCTGGAGTAGCCACTTTATCACTCACTTTCTAGTTAGTGCCATACTCTCTTATTTGTCATCAGTAGCACAGATGTGTATGGCATCTCTGTGAGCATGGGTTTATTGGGATTCATTGGTCAGGATGGAGTAACTGTGACACAGCAGAGAGTTTGGCATCATTTGAATGCCATGTTGTGTTGGTGCCGTGTATGAGTGATTTCCTCCTTTTTGTTTTGCTATTAATGATCGACTTCAGCTGTCACACTGTGGTAGGTGGGACATGCTGTGGTCACAATGCTCAGAGGCCTCCTGCATCCTCAGCTTGGCGTGCACAGCTAACTGTATGTGCCATAGATGGAAACTGAACATCTAATTACTTCATAAGATTTGCTAACAGAGATTTAGAGCCTGCTTAGCCTCTGCTTGAATAGCACTTTCTGTGGGATTTCATGCCTGCTTTTGCTCTCCTCCTCACAGGTCCTTTCACAGATGTTGTCACTACAAACCTGAAACTCGGCAATCCTACAGACAAAAATGTGTGCTTCAAAGTTAAGACCACAGCACCACGTAGATACTGTGTAAGGCCTAACAGTGGAATTATTGATGCAGGAACATCAATTAATGTTTCTGGTAAGCCATTCATACATATTTATTTTTTTTTTTTAGTGATTGAAAGTAGCTTCTTCAAATAAACTATTTTTTTGAAAGCTTTGCAGTCTGAAAGTATGTTGTTACATGTTTGTACAAGCAAGAGGTGGTGATTTCATAGAGAAGCAGCCATTTCATATATCCTCACTTCCCTTGTTCCTGGGCTAGCAATAATAGGTTTGCTTTTACATCTTGTTTTGAAGGAGAGAAAAAGGGATAAGTACATAAACTATATAAATCATTTATTAATAGCCTTAGCCAGCCTATCCAAACCAGTCCTGCTGCAGCCCTGCCCTCCCTGTGGGATTGTTTTTGTACAGTTAGTTTTTTGCCAGCTTAACTTCCTGAACCAGCTCACTGCAGGGTTAAACAAGTGATTGGACAGGCACGTCGAGGGAAGAATAAAACTGAGCAGACTGCAGCCACACCAGTTCAGGCTGCTGTTGGCTGTTGCCAAACTGCCTAATAAAACAAATAATGAAAACATTTACTTCCAAACCATACTTGTTTTGTGCTTCTTGCAGATTCAGTATGCTTTGCTGTTAGAAATGTCAACTGACTAAGTCTTTGCTGTTGCATATGAAAAGTTAATGATTTTCTCTGAGTCAGTGGCTCTTGACTTGCCTAACTTTGGTAATGGAAAAGCAAAGGAGCAGCTTACTTCGAAAGCTTGTAGAGCTGAGTGTTTCCCATAAACAGAACGTATGTTAGTAACTTGCTGATGATACATGCTTGAAAGCAGTGTATTTTCCCAATTACTTCTCTGATCTGTGTTTTTAATAAAGATTTCTGTCAAAGCGTGCAGTAGAGGCATACTGCAGGAATACAGTCTGACTTCTCAGTTATGAGAATTATTTCTATAAACATGAAGATTTGTTTGTTTTACTATTTTTAATAAAATTTAATATTGGAATGATAAGAAACTACTTACTGATGGGTTCTATAGTTTGCTGTTAGTCTCTTACCAAACTTTTCTAGCATGGGTTAAAAAAATTGGGGAGCTAAAACTACTGCTTTTTACTTGGGGGGGAAAAAAAAAAGTTAAATGTAAAAATCAAGAGTTCTGCTTTTTACTTAAAATGTAAAATATTTAAACACTTCATCCTTGGAGGTGTTCAACAAAATAAAAACTGATCCTATAATACTTTGCACTGTAACATTAAGAGACTCTAATCCTGTAAATCTTCTTGTGCATGCCTACATTTGTAGTCATTGATCTGTTGTCTCGGGAATTTCTGTTGTGTCAAATTGAGCGTGTGTGTGATTGCAGAGCTGTGCCTCCCTTCCAGTTCACCCCCAGGGAATGTTACAGTGAGGAGATAAGCAGTGCCAGGGGGTAGCTACAGATGGGGCAGGCAAAGCCCTTCTGCTCCAGGAGAAGGCTATCACCTTACCCAGTAAGCTCTGAAATGACTAATATGTAAATGAAAAAGCTCTCCAGAGAGAAATTGAGATTTTTAAAACTCAGGACAATTCCCAAGTAAAGTTGTCTGCCATCTTTGCTAGCTGCAGGCAAGCATATTAAATACATAGAAATCAATGAAGTGATAATAAAAATTAGCATGGTTTCTAGCTACAAATTATCTTCATGTGGATTCTTTTCATCTTACAGATGAACTTTCAAAATTAAAAGCCTGCTTCCTTTCCATGCACATACCATGCTATTTTAAATGTCATCTTGATCTCTACATGGAGTATTTTCTTAAACTTCTGACTACAGTGACCCTTTGCTCTCCCTTGAGCAGAATACAGCAGAGGCCAGTGGTTGATGAGCCCTCCTGTGTTGTGCTACCAGCATGCCTACATCTCACTTGCTTTGCCAGCCTGACTGCCCAGCGGCATATCAGATAGAATATGGATCTAGTCCAAGATTTGACTTACAGTACCCCGTTCTGAGAGACTGCTGTGCTAACCCTAAGCTGTGCTTTGCTTTTGCTTACTGAGCTCTGAAAAATCTCTTTTCTGATAACTTTATTTATAGTTATTCATTTAGCTTTGGAAATGGCTGTGATATATTTAATCACAAGCTCACATTCGTGTTCTACATATTTTCTTTCTGATAATAACTTAGTAATAACAAATTATAATCCTAAATTGCCAGTCCTTACATTAACAGCATATTTTAAAATACACACAGTACAGATTCACTGTTTTTTAGGTAATATATTAAGATAAATTTATGGGTAGACATGTTACAGAATTCTAGGGTTATAAATGTTAATTCTTTATTTCCTAAAACATTCTAAACTGAAGCTGTCTTTATCTTGTACTGTGACTGAGTTTCTCTTTAATAGAGCTTCATATATTTCACTCCTTATAATTCCTTTAACATATGCATGGGATGCAGTTTGGACTTGAATATGACAGTGTCTTTGGTTCCCATTAGCAGAAGGGATTTTTAGGATAGAAGGGATCAAAGAGGGGACTTCCATTAACTTACAGAACGGACTTGGTTTTGAATTCACAGGAAGTGGGGAGACATGTTTAACCTTTGCCTTGGAGTAATATTGCTGAAGAATGGAGAACTGATTTTGGAGTTAATGAAGCGAAAAATAAGTAGAATTTGTTTCTTTGCTTCTGAATCAGTTATTTTTCAGTCATGTAATTCAAGTTTTGCACTGGGCCTAAAAACAGGACTTGAATTCCACCAAACCTAGTGAAAATACTGATGAGAAATCATTACAACACGGTTAATTCAGTAATGACTTCTGGACACTTAAACCAGTTGGGCTGTATTTACTCTGTGCAGTCTGCCCTCTCGAGGATTGCTGCCTGGCTTTAACACAGCCGCTTGGTAGCACTGTGCTGGTACTGCACCTTGTCTCTGCAAGTATCAGTGCATCAGTATAGTGGGATGAGGCTCTGGAACAATGTCTTAGTCTCTCAGAATATTACTGACTGAAGATGACTTTGGGGCAGCCTTATATTCCTTGCACTGTAGTAACTGGATGCCTTCATTACACTCCTGCAAAACTATTTGTACTATTTTGATACCAGTGTGTGAGAAGATATTCTGCCCTCAGAGGCAGCAGTCAGAACATTATTCTACTTTATTTCATTCTAGTATAATGGCTCATTTAAAATACAAGACGCTAGAAAAGTAAAGCTTGCTTTATTCTCATGGAGTCAAATACTGGCATTTTATGCCATATCACAGCTCTTCCTAAATACCAGCAGCTGAGGCCCTGTCAGCAGGTGCTGCTTGCTGCTGTGTCAGGTTTTTAGCCCGTGTTTTCACCTGTTATATAATGTCATGTAATTTTAACAGCCAAGTTTATGTAACTGTCAGGAAGTGTATGTGTGTGCTGTCATCTGATTTCACTGCTTTCAGTCTGAAATTCTTTGAAAAGAGGTGTGTTTGCACACATTCCTCTTTTGTGAAACGTCTTATTTCAACTGTTACCTGATTTTGTGGCTTCTGAGAGGTTGAAGCCTAAATAAAAGGCATGAATGGGTTACAAAACAAAAGTGAAAAAATACAAGCAGTTATGGATGAGCCTGCAGGTAGGTGTATAATAGGGGGAGAGAGGAAATGCAAAGTGTGCTAGGTGGCACAGTGGCCTGCTGAAGAGAGCAGTCTGAACATGCTTCCTAAAAATGGGGAGAGCTGACATTATCCTTAGGTTGCTGTCGAATATCCCTGAAGGGGATTTTTAGTCTTTTGTAAACTTGCCTGACTTTGGAAAGGTGGTTGGCATTGCCTTCGGAAAGGTTCTTCTGCAGCCACTGTCCTCTCTGGTCATAGTGGATCTGTCCCTTTCACAAAGAGCCGGTCACGTCCCATCTCTGAGGCCAGCCCCCAGCTCCCTTGGGCAGTGTCACTCACTGCATGAGTCCCCCCTGCCCTCCCAGGACCAGGTAGACCAAATTTTGAGCTGTTTTTGTCCACTTGCTTTAGAAGAATCTATCTTGATCTTAACAGATGAAACACTTTTTAGTATTGCTAAAATATTTACAGAAAGAACTATGTAAATGTGGAACAAATGTGAAGTGGTGCAGTGGCTTCTGCCCATTTCTGCAGATGCAAGTGTCCTTTGATCACCTCTAGCAGAGCTGATCAAATTGCACAGTGATCTTGAGGCTTGGCCCTGTGGCTGGTTGGAGTATTTCATGTAAAGGTGACATAAGTGTGGTAGATTTGATCTATCCAGACCATAAAGAATTTCATGCAGTGCCATCTGGGAAAACTGTCAATAAAGCTACAAAGGAAAAATAGACTCACAGACTATTGAATGGGCTACTTAAGAGTAAGCAAAGATGTGTTAGAAGGAAATTACTAGTGACATTTCTGGAGAATGATTCTCAGTGCTAATCTTGTTTAATGATTTTATAAGCAATTCTGGCAGAGAGAGTACACTAGAAACCCTGATGATGATGTCAAGTTGGGAGGCTGAAGATAGGCAGCAGAACTGGGTGTCCTTGAAGTCTGCAGTAAGAGAAACAAGAGGATGAATTTAATCAGAAAAACTGCAAAATCACCTGCTTGGAAAATAAAACACTGCTGCTGTAATTACAGCCTTGTACATGGAGGGGGCTGGCTGAGGTGGCCAAGATGTTGACATAATGTGGCTGTGAAAAAGGCAAATGTTGTATGTGCAAAGAGGCTGGATAAATGGAAAAGATAGAGGTTATAAATGGTGTTGTCCAAGGCACTAGTAAAAATTCCTGGATGTATAATCAGAGTAGCTCATACGGAGGAGTTTATCCAGAACAGGTGCAGTGAGTGAATGGGGAGCCTGGCCCGGAGAGGACCCACCGAGTCTGGCATGGTTTGTTTACCAGAAGGCCAAAAGTTACTGCGATTGATGTCTTGGAGCACGCCAGAAGTAAATGACTCTTCCCCTTCTTTGATATTTAAGCATAAGGGCAACGTTGGTCCAGGACCAAGTAAACAAGCCATTAATAAATATAGATGGAAGCTAGAGGAAGGTTGCTGACTCTGTGAGCAGGCAGACTTCTCAGTTCCTTCTGCTCTTGGAAGGGAATACTAGATCCTAGCAGGGGTTACAGGCAGCGTTCTGCCTCCTTCCATGTTCCTTGCTTCACATTTCCTTGGTTCCTTGAGAAAGCAGGTTTACTCTAGGAAAACCAGAAGAGTTTAATGCTTCTGCCATTGCTATTAACTTTGCCAGTACAGAGGGCCTTGCATAAAATATAGGGGATGTAGCAGTAATGTGTGAGAAAACTGGTATCCATTTCTTTGGAAACGCTTCAGAACAGCTTATACATAAGGTCAGTCCTTCATGTTTGAATTTTGAGAGAGATAAGTGGGCTAACAAATAGAACTTGCATTCCTCCTCATTCCATTGATCACTCAATGAATTTGCAGTTTTTGCTTGTGGTAGAATGCTTCTGGTGCTGCAGCTGTAGGGAGACGTGTTTACAAAGTAGTTGAAACACACCTTTCTGCCTAATGGATGCTGGTGCTAGTAAACTTGTAGATCACATTAATAATTTTGTTTGAGCTCTGGGTTCTGATGAAAGCTGGTCAGAAACTTTTGACTAGATGCAATTATTTGGTAAGGCATTTTTTAGGAACATAAGCTTTTCACATAGTTGTTGCATAAGGTATGGGATTTCCAGTCAAAACAAAGGAGCCACATTCACAATAGCAAATTCTCTAGCAATTAGGGCAGTTACATGGAACTAATGTTTCACAGAAAACCCCAATAGTACTTGAATAAATGTTGAAATGGTTTGGTTTCCCCTTGAACAACGTATGTATTTTGAGCTTGCCATCTGGTTTACAAGACATTTGCTGAGTAATTTGTGTCAATGTGCCTTTCATGTATTGATCTAAAAATACAAGTGCTAACAACGTTTGTACTGTTAAGCCTGCTCTAGCTGCTTGTTCTTATGATTCAGTGAATGGAATTCAGAGCAGAGCATTTGGCATTCAAGAATGGCTTCAGCACTATCACTTGGGAATTAATGGTTTTCGAATGATCTTATAGTTGCACCCAGCATAGCAAACTGATAAAACTGCAGGTCTGGAGAAGTTCCCTTAACAGTGGATAGTTCTGACTACCTGGTTGGATCTTAGATATAGTGTAGATATTAATTAAGTTAGGTGTTTACTACAAGGGAGCAAAAATTACACTGCTGCTGTTCATCAGTGATGTATCATACAATGTTGAAATATATGTGCTTGTACAGTGTAGTCACTTCTGTTTGCAAAAATAGCTGTAAAAGTAGGCCTGTTAATTTTCAAACATTTATTTTGGCCGGGAGTTAAAAACATGTAATAGTTTTTGAAGCACCCCATCTGAGAGAATTCGGTCTTCCTTCTCTTCTGGCTTTAAAAGGCATGCAAGTTCTTGACAGCCACAGAGTGTGTGCGTAATAAAGATGGAACAGCCATAATATTTCTGCTCATTGAAGGAGACAAATTGGTTTAACTTGCTTTCATTTGCAATAAACGGGATCTTTGGCTATCGCTTTTCTACAGCAAACCCCTGCAATTAGCGTGTATGGATTTGGGCACATGATGTTAATAGCACTAGTACTTGAAAGTAATCCTAATTCTTGAACTGCTTCTCCTCTTAGTGATTGAATTGAGAGACTGAAGTAGCCTCATGGTTGTAAAATGTGAATTTTTAAACCTTACACCATTTTTTATGTTAGCAATAATTGCAGTGTATGTGAAATTTGAGGGGTTGACAGCTTTTTGCAATACTTAATAACACGTCTGTGTAAACTGCTCGCTTATTTTCACATGTGTTCTGTCTCACGTTGAAGCCAAACCCCCATTTGCTAATGTCACTGTATCAGAATATCCAGGTGTTGTTTGCAAACTGCAGTTTCTGGTTCTAAGTGAGCACTGTGATTAAAGAATATCCCATGTAAATGAACTACATAACTCTCCCTCTTCAAGTTAGTTTAATATGTTAGTTCTCGACCCAAAAAGATGTGGAAATCCACAATATTAAATCAAATTTTTTTAAAAGTACACACACACAGCCCCCAAACCTACTGTTCCTTGCTCTCTGCCCCTAAACACAGTAATTTTCTGCATAAGTAAATTCTGGAATATTTGTTATTTTTTGAATGGATAGAAATATGTTTCCTGTATACATTTCAGAGACAACATTTATTTAACATTTAACCATAAACATCCAAGTATAAATTGGTAACAGACTTTCATCAACTTATGTTTGGAAGATAAATACTTGATAAAGTAAATACCATGAGACTTTTTAAGTTTGTAGAGGAAATTTCCATTCTGATGCTTGAACCTCAGGGTCTGAAATATTTGACTTTGCCTCTGTAGCTTTTCTCAGGAACGGTCATCAGCACCATGTGTACAACTCATCAGCATGCCAGCTTGTTACTTTGCCCCAAGGAATAAAGGGAAAAAACATGCTTTCTTTGAGAATTTTTCCCTCTATCCCAGAAGATACACAAATTATATTACTTACCATAAATTACTATTATTATTTTGCCATAGTTTTGTACAGAATATTGCACACTGATAGCATTTCCAAAATTCTCAGACAAAAATCTGGACACACTGATAAGTCTTATCTTTTAAGCTTTTATTTTAGAAGCTCCTGTTCTCAGCTGCTGCTTTGGTCATAATGGACACACAACTTGCAACCATTTTAATGTCTGTATTTCTCAAATGTGATAATTATATCATGCAGGCATGACTAATGCATCAGAGAAATGTTGACATGTGGTTTGGGGTTTTCTTTTTTACAGTGATGCTACAGCCTTTTGACTATGACCCTAATGAGAAAAGTAAACACAAGTTTATGGTTCAGTCTATGTTTGCTCCAGCTGATACTTCAGATATGGAAGCAGTAGTAAGTATTGAAAATAATTCAAATGGATTTCTTTCTGACTGTATAATTTTATAAGACCTTTTACTGCATTGCTTGAGGGATGTTGTTAAACTATACTGGAATGATCCTTGAAAGCTTTGCCAGATTTCCATCTCTGTTTACGGCAAGGTGTTCGAGCCCCAGGAATCTTGCACTGAAACACAGAGCTGATGCCTTTGGTTCCTTCTTTAGGATGCTTCTGTCAGTAATGAGATACCAACCCATCAAACAAATGTTAGGTAGTTCACAATATATCACAACTTGAACTATATGTTCTAAGAATACAGAGAATATGCTCTTAAGCCTGTGGTATCTTTTATATTCTATGTCTCTGCTATCAGTTTTGAGTCTTCCCTTGAGCAGCTCCTTTTCCCAGCAAGAACCAGGAGGATGATTTCCAAGTATTGTGTTTTTCTTTGTCCCTACCTATGTCTGTTGTGGCTTAGGTGAATGAGAGGCCCTCATAGATTTTGTACTGTGGATTACAAATGAGAGCAACAGAAGCATGTAGGTGCTGAAGCAAAGAAGGACAAAAGATGTAGAAATAAGATGTCAGGCTACATTAAGGCAACTTGGAATGGAACAAATTAGTATGTCAACGGGTGACTTTCCTATAACAGCAAGATCTGCTACTGCAGAAGGCACAGGGAAGCCTTTTCTAGCTTTTGCTTAGCTTGAGAGAACACTCAGTAGCTATTGAGGACCAGAAAAAAAAAAAATAGAAAAAAGCTACTACTCTAAAGTGTGGGGCTTGTGTGTTTGTATGTGTATGTATTATGTAAAAAAGCCAACCCCAGAAAACCTCAGAGCACGTATCATGGCTTTTTTACAGTACTCTTTAAAATATGTGTCTTCATGTGAATAGCTTTTCAAAGCTGCAGCACTCTGCAGGGTTAAAAATTTCCTTTCTGAAAGAGATTGATGGAACTGTATTTGTTTAATGGCCTCAAAACAAGACCTGGTGGGAGAAACAGCAATAGTAATGTCTGCATCACTAGGAAGATAAGCCAATCTGTCATTCTTTCTAACTCTTCTATTTTCATTCATTATTTTATACCATGAAGAATGTTATCCTGCGTGGCCCTTTCAGTTTTCCAGAGCTCTCACACAATAGGTTTTCTTTTCCTGTAATGCTTGATCAGTTCTTAGTTTTGTTACCACTCTCCAAATATCTTCCTATTCTGGATAAACAGGTGAGACAAATTACTGGAGTGCTATAAAGCTTTCAACACTTCACAGTCAGCCAACAAGCTCAAAATAGAGTTCTGACTTCAGCTACAGAAGAGCTGAAGTATGATTCCACTATTCAGGATGAGTCAAATACTTCTTCAGGTTGCACAGGAATCAGCCATAATTTGACACCTACTTGAGATGGGCCAAGCAATACTGTGCTACCAGAAGTAGGGTCAAAGTGAAGAGAAGCATGTGAGAACACCAGGACGTACAAGTGGACACTTCTTGCTGTATATCACTACTATGAATAAAATCTTTTCAATTCAGGGTTACAGCTGATAACTAGCAAATGTTTATAACTGTTAAGCCCTATTCAAAATATTGGGAGGAAACTTTTATGGTAGACTCCCTAGTTGAATGGGAGAGGAGGACAAGAGGGGAAGCTGTCCCATTTTGTATGTAGCACATCTGTTATTGTTTAGACATCGACATAGAAAAATATAGAGGTGAAAAAGAAGGAAGAACAGTCCTGTACTTCATACTGGTCAGGAAGAAAACTTCCTCTGAAATTTGAAACGCTTGAACAGGAACTCTGCTGAACAAAGACTTAAGGACTAATGCTGTTACTGATTTGGGTTTTCTTATCCTTCCCTTCCCTTGAACGAGCCCCTCCTTTTCTTTTTTCTTTTCTTTATCAGGACCATAGCTCCCCCTGTCTATGCTAATTACTCCTGCACAATTCCCAGCTCTCATAAATCACTTGTGTAAGTTTCAGACTATTGAGAATCATTTCCTTCTGGTCTTTCTTTGCAATACCACTTGGTTAGGTATTTGTTTTCATTCTTCATATATGTGGTTAATGGTAACATGATAAAAACCTGTGGGGTTTTTCCCCAAGTGAGGTGGTGTGATTTGTTTACATAATACACTGCGTTTTCCATCTGCCTTATACTTGTATGTTTAATATTAAATTATTCCAGTGGAAAGAAGCAAAACCAGAAGAACTCATGGATTCGAAACTTAGGTGTGTGTTTGAGCTACCAGCGGAAAATGATAAGCCTGTGAGTATTTTCAGATATATATTGAGTGTTTTAAAATAATACCTCAGTAAATTACATAAAGTGGCACATTTATACAGGCAGCTATATAAGCAACAGACAGAACCCTCTTGTTTCACTGCCTGGATGGCATCAGCCTTTGAAAACACAATATAAACTATTTAAAGTCTTTGTGATGCTTAATGGAACGAGCAGCTGATTTGAACAGTGTAAGTGTACACAATCACACAGAAATCTTAAGAGTTGTACTGGTTTCATTTAGTGAAAGATCACAGGATAAAGAATATTTAAAAAAAAAAAAAGGTGCTGAGGGATGGTCATAAAGCTCAGAGTTTATACTGAAGCAATTATAACCATCAACAATACAAATTTGCCTGTCCAACATTCCCCCTTTTCTTCTCTGATAGAACACCAGTTTTAGCAAGTAAACTGTTAGAAAGGTGGTGGGGACAGCAGAAGTGCAGCAGCATGAGCAAGTGCGTGCCCACTCGTACTGTGGGACATGGGCTAAGGCTTTTTTCCTGTTCTGTATATGTTGCAAATGAAAAGTTGAGGTTGTTCTGTCTGCACTTACTTCTGCTGATGTAGTGTTTTCTGTGAGACAAAGGGGCACAAATAAAAGTTACAGAAAGAAAAATATTGTTTATTTCTTTAGATACACGTGCATTTCAGGTGTGCACAGACAATTTTACCAGACTCTCCTAAATATCAGGTGTGTGGTGTGGCATAATAACTAACTAAAAATCACTCTCTTGTTTTTTAACAGCATGACATAGAAATAAATAAAATTGTATCCACAACTGCAACAAAGACAGATTCTGCTGTAATGTCTAAATCACTAAGTTCTTCTTTCGATGACACTGAAGTAAAGAAAGTAATGGAAGACTATAAGAGGCTTCAAGTAGAAGTTCAAAGGTTACGGGAGGAGAATAAACAATTTAAGGTAAAGATAATTGTTTTTTCTTTTCCAGATTTACCCTTTTCCTGAGAAGGAAGCCTCTGACTTACAGGTTTGGTTATCTGACCTTGGGACAATATTTTAGTATAGTCTATAAATTAAAAGATAATTTAGGTTTCTCTATAAACTGAGAAGAAATGTTGAAATCAATGCTTCCTTTGAAAGGAGCATACAAGTCATGCAGTCAGAGAAACTGATTGGATAGCAACCCAGAGTAATGAATTCCCTCTCTTTTTCCTACCTTATTTTCCCAGTCTTAATTAAGCATTCAGTGTTGAGTTTGGCACTGTTCTCAAGCTGATGGGAGCTTGAGGGTGGTGTTGTGCAAATATGAGTGGTTTTGTAATTGCACCTATAATATGCAGTTGAAATGACCAAAGTAAGACAGGTTAATAGGAAATATGCTTCCTGTCATATCCAGCACATTGCTGTGAAATCAAGTAATTGAGAAGCCTTTGTCACTCTGCTGAGAAACTGTTTTTACAGTAGTCTTATTTGTTATAAATGTCTAGTTTCATAGATAGCAACACCAGTGAAAATTTGGAATTTGTGACTGTTGGAGCCCAGTGAAAGGAGCCCTGTTCTTTCAGCTCTTATGCTGCTTGGCTGGCTGATGCTTGAAAAAATTCTTTGAACATTTGTAAACCATTTTTGTTCTGCACTCAACCTTAACTTTTCCTTGTGTTCTTGTTTTACCAGTGTCTCTCAATACTATAAGTACTAGATGACTTATTTATTTTTTTCCAAACCAGTCTTGAATAAACACTACAGGAGATACCTAGGATTGAGCTGTTGTCTTACATTCTTAAAATGAATTGTTTATTCCCTCTGTGGAGTGTTAGAAACATCAGTAAAACCTCAGAAAGCAATGTTAAATTGGTGCCAGCAACCAGGTGCTGTCACTGTCAGGTTAGAGTTGCTGTCACAAGGAAGTGAAAATATTTAAAATGTGATGTTTCTAGCAGTATATTGTCTACTATATAGATAAACAACGTGTTACTGTTTACAGAAGTCAGTTATCCCCATCTAGACTTCAAGCAGTAGTGAGGTGTCAGGTAGTGTGTGCCTTCTCATAAATACTTTTTTTTTTTTTAAAAAAAAAGCATTCCTCCACAGTGTTAGGTGCCCTTTTAAATTTAATAGTTCAAAACATTGGCCTACACTGAGCCTTTTTAATTTCACTTACCTGAGGTTTTTTAAGGCTGCAGTAACATTTATTATCATTTTACTTCTGGAGTATTTTTTTTATGCATAGACTGGAGACTTTCTTGTTCTTTTGCATCATAATATTGTATCACATAAAAAAATGTTAACATTATTGCTTCAGTTGTATACAGGTTAGGTCACAAAGGGCTCATTTTTCCACCTCCTGAAGTCTGCCTTTCTGTGTGTGGAATGGAGTGTGCAGCTGCGCTGCACAACACATTACATTGAGATGTGAGGAACATTTGCCTCCACTTGAAATGATAATATCTGGTGTTACGATGTTCTTTTATCTGTTGTCTCATATGTCTTTAAATCAAGAGAGCTGTCAAACTCATACCAAGCATCCTAATTATTGCCATTAGTTTCATGTCAAAATGTCAGCATTAATATGATGGAGGAAATGGGTTTCCCTTCAAATGCTGGTAAAATCTGCTTGTGACATCTAACTAGGGGAATGATTAGTATAATTGCCTTCAAGTTGCATATTTTTCACAACCTATCTTACTTATATTGAAAAACATTTTCCTCAGCAGCAGTGTATTTGCTTACAGAGGAAGAAAAGCATCTCCATGCTGTTCCCTCCGTCACAGTTTATGAAGTTTTGGAGCTGTCTCCAGTCTTGTGACAAGTGTTCTCACAGGCATCCTTATTGCTCCCCGTTACCTTAGTTCACAGGAGAAAACTTCCAGAAGCTCTGCTAGTCAAGTAAATACAGAATTCCTCTTCCACCTCACTACCCTTTCCTTCTCAGTATTATCTAAGAAATAGAGCTCTAATTTAGCTGTAAATTAGCTTTCGCCTATTTTATTATGGCCACCTAAAAGAAATATAAGGGTGAGTAGTTAAAGCTTTTGTTTCAGTAGAAATAATCAATATATCTTCTTTCAGGAAGAAGATGGACTGCGGATGAGGAAGGCACCCCAGGCAAACAACCCAATATCTGCTTCTGCAGCTGCTGTCAAGGATGAAGGGCTCAGCTCCAGACTACTTGCTTTGGTGGTTTTGTTCTTTGTCTTTGGTGTAATTATAGGAAAAATAGCCTTGTAGAGGCAGCATGCTGGAAATTGTAAATTGGTTTGATGGTTCTGCCATATCATTGGATTAAATTTATTCATAACAATGTTTAAAAAAGAAATTAATGTATGACATCTCACAGGTCTTGCCTTTAAACTACCCCTGCACAAATACTATGTAACATAATCTAGAAAGTTTAAAATGTACAATGAGTGAATGAATGAAAGAGAATATGCTTCAGTGATTAAGGGGGAGAGAAAACCCTGATTTAACACTACAATGGGATATTGTATACGTCATTTTAAACATTCTTAGACCCTGGTACATGTTGCTGGATTACCTCTTTTTTTAAAAAAAAAAAAGGAAAAAAAAAAAAGACAGAAAAAAGCTATTCCTCCACTGCTGGAGCTGGCCCTATTGGATGTTTGGAGCTGGGTTAGGCAGGAGGTGTTGATAACTTCTGTAAAATACATTAATCCACCATTCTGCTCATAAATTTAACAGTTTCTGTCAGTGTCTTCAACTCTCTGCAAGTTATCAAGTTCTTGGCACTTAAATGGATAGTGAGAAGCTGAAAAGAATTGTATGTGGCATTGCTGAATGTGCTAGGCATCTTTAAGAGGCGTATATTGACTGATATGGCGCTCATTTGGAATAGAGGTCAATGCCTTGTTCTCATAAAGGGACCAAGCTACATTGCTGTTGGTTCATTTAGTTGAATTAAAATGTTATTCAGAGATGTTTAATGCATATTTAACTTATTTAATGTATTTCATCTCATGTTTCCTTATTGTCACAGAATTGACTAATACTATATGGTATGAAAAGGCACCTGTTTAAAGCCAGTGACTAGAACTAAGAGTTTGCTGCTGTAGTGATGTGAGATTCTTCTGCCTCCTGGTGTTTTGGGCACTACACAATTGTTGGGAGTTTTGATCATCTGAGCATTGGAGAAACAGTGGTCAGGAAACTGTTTTTGTATGTAAATAAGTCTATCTAGGCGAAAAAATATTAGTAGTAAACTAGTCCTATGCCGTTGAAGACCAATCCTGTTTGACTATGTAGCATCTTAAAACAAGAAAAAAAAAAAAAAGAAAACAAGTTAAATAAAGCCCCCAAATTAATGTTTCCTTTGTTACTTTTGTCATGTTCTCACAGTTTTAGAGGGGGGAGGAAACAGTATTCTCTGTCACCTTAGTTTATGGCATAAGGAAGCGTGCAGTCTTGTTTCAGGATGAATTTTTTTTTCCCAGCCTAATTTGAAAATCAGTTCAAACAGCCCCATCACAAGTGTGATAGATGTAGGTGTTGTTCAGAGTAACCATGCTGACTGCTGAAGGACAACGTAACTTCCCATTCTTCAGTTTAGTAGTTAAGACTCTTGATAGCATGTTGAAAGAAAAGGTGATTTTATTTCTAAGCATACTTTTAGTACAAAATACATAAATTCAACATGTTTTAACATGTTGAACTTCAGTAGATGCAATTGCTTTTGAGCAGGTAAACTCCTGTGTGTTCTTAAATCATAGGTCCAGAAACCATGGTGATAAAAGGTTTTGTACCACCTCTCAGGATTAAGAGAAATCTTTTAAAAGTGATTTTTTCATTCCTTTATTATTCCTGTGATTCCTTGAGAAAGCTGTTGGAGCTGCAACCTGTCTGCTAGACTTGGTGACCCTTAGATTTGTTCCACTTGTGTCTCAAGGTTTTTCTGCTTTGCAACTGTAAATACGTGAGATTTTGTGAAGTTTAATAAGAAAATTGGACAAAAAAAAAAAACTAACTGGTGTGTTCAGCTTATGAACACAATTCTGGAAGTACCTCTAGAAGATTCAACAGAAATGAGAGGTGTGTTTTTAAAATGCTAGTGCCTTGCCTGCTCAGGATGGGTGTGCCAAAGCTATTAAAGGGCAGAGAAGATGGGAGATGAGCTGGAAAGAATGAAGCTGAGAGTGCAGTGTGACAAATTGGGCAGAACCAATCAAGAAAAAGATACTTTGCGGGCAGCAGAAGCTAATGAAAAATTTTACATTAAAAATTTTAAAAGAACTTTTTCAGGAAGACAAGGCTGTAAGTGATATTGCAAAATTAGTTTTCATGGCTTTGAGGAATGTATTTGAGAACCTTTGCTGAAGAGAGAGTGAGCTATGCAGTATGTTTTTTAAAAGGCTGTAAATATATTGATCTCACTAAAAATATGTTAGAAGAGCTGAATTCCTAATTTGCTTTAAAGAAAAAAACTTTTTTTGAGAGCCCGTTGTTCTGATGAAAAACAGCCTCAAAAAAAGTTTGTTTTAAATAAAAATAACTGTTTTTGCAGTGTATAGGGGGAGGATTGAAGCTTTAAACTGGTTTGTTGTGAGTCTGTCTGTAATAGCGTTCAGGGAGGTTTTACACACACAGCTACCACAGCTGGCTTTGCTGGCACGGGCAGCTCCCTGATGAAGGGGAAAGTCAGCAGCCTGTCCTCCTCCCTGTGTCCAGTAGTCCCTGTCCTCTTAGTGATCTGTGACAACTTGGAACTTTAAATTTTTCGTGAGCAAAGTTCTTCCTGTTGTTTGCATCACAGGGTTATAAAGAGATGCCAGAAAACAGTCTCGTAGTTTGCTGCGTGCCTCCCAAATGCTTGATGAAGGAGACCAACAGAGGAGCTTAGTTAACTAAGGATCTGTTGGTAACAACTGTAGCCTGCTGTTGGGGCTGACCCACACCCATCAGTCCTAAACAAGACTGTTAAATTAACTGCTTATCGTTTGCAATGTAACGAAAACCTGAGGTGTTTCCTCACCTGACAACAGCCTGAACAGACAGTAGCACTGAATTGTCTGAATAATGCTTTGTTTTTGCTGAGCTTAAAATAAAATGGCTCATCAGTGGAATCCTTATTACCAGCTAGAAAGAAATCCAAGAATATTTTTTCTTCCAAGGTTCCTTAAAGGTCAGTCTGTAGATACATTGCAAAAATATGTTGGATGGATGTTTGTAAGCCACCTGGATATTTTTAAGTTGTTCCTTACATGTTGACACCAGAGCAAATGTTTTCATGACGTATTAATAGAAAGCAAATTATTCTGGAGGGCATTGTATATCTTAGGAAGTTACGCATGGAACAAAGCTTCTAAATAGCATCATTGTCTGGTGGCCTTACACAACACCAGATGTTAGAAAACTGTAACTGAAACATGATAGTTATTACTTAATCTAATTATCGTTATTTTAAGATTCCCACTTGCGTGTATGTTCATGGTTAAATGTTGTAAGAGCCAGTAGAGGCTGCTTAGGTAGTCTTCATTTTGTGGAGCTTTACACTCCTGTCTGCACTCTGGGCAAATTTGGTATAAATAGATAACTAAAATGTCTCGATGCCTACGACTGGGAAATGAATGGAAAATGCTTTCTACTGTTGTCATGTAGTTTATTTGTCATCTTAAAGCAAATATTCCATGCATGAATGATCATAACTACTACAGTGGAGGTTGTCAGCTGCGAATGCACAGCTGGAACAGCTGCATGTGTGAGCTAGGCACCCAGTTTCAGGTCGCTCTTGGATAGCCTTGGGGATCAAAGAGCAAGATAATACTATGTGTGTCATGTTGAGGGGGATTGATGTACCATAATGTAATTTTCTAAAAATGCAGGATTGTAATAGCCTGATGGCAGTATTCCATGTTACGTTTTTTTTCTGAAATGCTGTTAGTGGGATAAAGTTGGAACCTCACTTTGCAAATCACTAGAGTTTCTTCTCACCAATAAACTATAAAATGTTTCTATTTGCTGCACATGTAAACTTGCAATTCTTATTGTAATCTTGACTTAGCAGTCAGCATATTTAAATAGCGGTGTGCACACAAAAATGGATTGTTAATGTCGTAAGGTATTTGATGTTGCAGTTGCATAATGAAAGAAAACTGTCATCCCTTTTCTTCAGAAAACATGTATGACTGTCATCTCTTAGTTGGAACACTTCATTCTCGAGCACAGTAGTCACTTAACTGTAGTATTCTGAGTTTTTGAAACTATACTTCTCTTGCTCTACGTGATGTCCTGAAATGCCATATCCTGAGTTCTGTTTTCTATAAAAAGTAACTGAGAAAAAAATCATAAGAAAATCCCTCTGTTTGAAATTAAAGAACATGTAAAACAAGCCCTCTGAACTTCATGTTTGTTGTGGCTGTGTTACAGCTGCAATAGGACTTTGCAGCAGCACTAGAGCAGCTTGAGGTGGAGAGCTGCTTTCTTGCAGTGTGAGAATGGGTTGGCATCCTGTACTCAAATCCTCAAGCAGGCAGGTTGAGAGGGGACAGGTGGTGAGCGAGTTTCAGTGTACATGTTTGGGGGGGGGTTGGGTTTTGTTGTGTTTGTTTGTTTGTTTGTTTGTCAGAAACACTGATGTATAAAGAAGAAAGTAATCTGTACAGGAGTGAGACTAGTTCAATACCATATGTGGAGGTCATTATTCTTTTTAACCAGATACATGTCTGCAAATCTAATGTACAAGTTAGAAAATATCGGTATAAACCAATGTTTAGGTGTTTCAGAAAGAGAAGTAACTACTGAGCAAGGCTGCTTGCTCATACAGTGGAACCTAGCAGTCCTAGATACACTGCGTGAAAAGATGACAATGGGACACAATGCTGGTGTAAATCATCTGGTGCAGTTAGATAAATAGTGGGATTTATTATTCAAGCAGGGAAGGGCTGATCCTTTGGCCATGTCCAGTGAAGATTTCTTTATGTTATGCTGACAGCTTCATGTACACCAAGTCACTTCTGTCTATCACGTGCCAGTGCAAAAGTGACATTACTCATTGTGCTGTTATTAACTTTTATTTTTATTAATTTCAGAGGACAAAGTAATTGTGTGTTTCCACTATTCAAATCTGCTTAACTATAAAATTTGTTTTATTAATGGGTTGCTTTTTACTGGATAAATGTAGATTATTTTTTAAAATAACACCAGTAAGAGCCAGCCAGAGATCTCTTCCATGTAATATTCTGATCAGCGTGCACTTACACACACTCTCAAAACTACAGTATACCTGTCACTTACTCTGCCATTACCCGTGGCTTTATTTCCTTTTACAGAACTGGTTTCACATTTATACTTTGAAGACTAAAACTTTTGAAAATTTTACTAAACTTCCACATAGATCTTTTTGCCTCGAGTCCAGGCCTAAATTTGTCCTGAGGTCCTGCACGAGTGAAAACTAGAAAAAGGAACACTGAATCTTTGAGCACGGAAACAAAGCTGCTTTTTCTTGAAGCAGACTTGAACTTTGGATCTTTCCTCCTATGATCTGTCATTAGAAAATGGCCTTTTCCAGATGGCAAAACAAAAGAAGTTAAGAAAACAAATGAATTAAGAAGAATTAATTGAAGCTGCATATTACAAGTTGACATTATACATCTGGCATTTCTGTTTATGTTTCTGCCTCAGTACATTTCATTCTTATTTAATAAGCTCCTAATTTTACAATTTTTTTCAAGATTTCAAAGTGCCTATGAAGAACTGAAAAACAGTCCTTAGTGAAGTATTATTCCCAGCTTAGGTTTACTTCTTTTTTTTTTTAATCAAATCTTTTTCTTCAGTGGATAAACTCACAAGATTAGAAAAGCCTCTTGAACTCCCTCATGTTTGAACTGGCAAAATTCCCACACACAATTATCCACACACAACGACTTTTAAACAACCTTTATTAAGGCCGTGCAAAGTCAAGCACTCAGAAAGTGGCAAAACCAAGTCTGTGCACTGTTGGTTTGGCTACTCTTTGTGAGTACGTTGCAGATTCTGATCAAGCCTTCAGTACCACGTCAAAAAGTGAGCTACAGCTGCCCAGAAATCGTCTAGGACTGTCCAGTTTTGTGTGCCTGACCTTCTTAAGGTACATATCATTAGTTTTTTTTTTTTTTAAAGTTGAACTTAAGGTGCAGCAAGTCAGGTGTGTGTCTAGATGGAATCCTGTATGTTCTGCGTATGGACACCCATTCTTGACCTAAGGATCTGGTGTAGTGGTAACTAAGCTGAAGCAGCGATTTTTGTTTTCACATTTCACTGGGAGACCACACGCAAGTGTTATTGGAGCCAGGAATTTTTGCTTCAGTTCTGAAGCCCCAAAGAGCT